GTTGAGCTGATAATTCTACTCAGAAGACAAAACGTTGAAACCGCCACTGGGCTTACCAATAGGTGGTCGTCTAGTATTGGTCAAAGCAGATAAAAAAGTTGCCAGATGCGCAGCTAATCGATCAAATTATAGTCTTCGAGACAAACAGAACATCATTTTGAAAAAGAAGAAACTTGCTCCGTTTGCAGTTAACTTATTTTTTCGATACTTTGATCACTCGCAGTTCACAGCGTGGCTCTCTATTTGCACGACAAGTAATCAAAAACGAACTGCCCTCCTTCCCTCCTCCCTCAGCTGTTTCCCTACATAAATAGTTGGGGTTTGCTGTGAGGAGAATGCTTGTTTTTGTTGCCAAACGAAAACCATGGAGAAACATTTTTCGCAGGACAAACAAGAAGAGCCTGTGACTAATTCCATTTTTGACAATAGTATTTCACATACCACACATACCTGCATACAGTTAAATGCTTTTGCAAAACAATTTCATGCCTTATTATTTCATGAGAAACATATCATAAACAGTAGCATCAGGAAGGGAACGAAGCCCGGATTCCCTTTTCAGGAAACAAAATAAACAGTTATTCCTTTTAACACACCCACAAAAAAAAAACACGCTTCTTAATTTGTCACATTTCAGCGATGGACCTTGACATGTCTCTTCGCAACTATATAAATAGTCAGACTCTCTTTCCTATGAGTATTGTGCAAGATATCATGACGATCATGTAGGGACGTGGAAGTGTTTGCCCGCCTTACCAACAATCAGTGAATGTCGCGCATTAGTGATTGGTGCCTGTGAGGAAGAAAACGACCACTCGGGCGATCTGCGAAGAGGTGGCGAAAGTAAGTCGAAGGTGCTGCGTACTTATTGGAGATATGAAGCCCAAAATCGGAACCACCTGGCGTGGCTGCGCCAGGCGTGCAAGAGCATTCCAGTAGTTTTACTAACATGTGATTCTCGAACTGATGGTGAAGGGTGCTTTGCTACTCTTGGTATTATTAGCACGCATTTTATATTTGAATTATGCAGTTTAAGGTAGCCTGGCGTTCGTAGCGTGGGAAAATCCTAGTAACGTCAGTAAAATGGGATGGTCTGTTTTCTCACTTCCCCCGTCCCTTTTTTCCTCTTACTCCCTCTCCCGCCCCTCCTGACCCATCTGTTTCCCTCCCTCTCCTTACTCTTTCAATTATCTGGACGACCTTAGCGTACTTGCTATCACTGTTGAGAAATTTTTATTAAGATCAATTATCCCGGTGGTTTAGGTGTTTTCCATAAAATGTTACCCAAACATAAAAGAACTCTTCAGAGACCGTCTTCAAGAACGTTGTTAAATGTGTTTTTTTTTAAAAAAGAATTTTACTTCTGTGCTTTAATCGAGAAACTGCAATCTCACTGTTGTTGCTGTGAGAGTGATATTTTTAGTTGTGTTGAATTATTCATAAACTTTATGTGCTACTGATGAATCACGAAAATATAGTGGCAAAATCGTCTTTGCAAAGGAGTTTTTGTCTAGATAATTTAACAGTGAAAGATACCAGTTAATTTAGCAGTAAAACGAAAGCTGGGAGACGATGGTTGGGTAGTTAAAATACAGTGCAGAAACCTGAAATAAACTCTTTGTTGTGTAACATTTATTGTTATGCGTTTTTTGCAGCAATGCAATGCGAAAAACGCATATT